GCGCGAGACGTGTCCACATCAACGTAGCTGACGCCGCATTAAATATCCCTTAATGCCGAAGACATTCGCTATATACTTACTATTGTTATTGTAGTCCCATATTTGACATTTCATAGGGGATAATGCAAATCCGTATGTAGTATTGGTAAATGGTGCGTATCTGCACCAAACCAACTTTTACTGGAGAGGGATATGACGTTACTATTTGTTATTTCAATGACGTCTTTCATTTTTGCACAGTAAGCATTAATTTATGTTGTCTACGGATACATAACAATAGATTAACGTGAATCACTCTAATTTGGTTGCCACTACATTTACGCGAATTTGTTTTGGCCACTGCATTACCGAAATGGAAACACATAGTCAAAGGTAGTTGTGCGTAATTGCACAATTCCCGACGATTAACCAAACGACTCATATGATTAGCTTTTTTATGATATCAAGTGACGGAACGAACAGGTCGTGGTTGTAATGGAAAACGACACACCTATCCATAATAGTTGCAGGGTCATTTAAAGCTTCAAAACGCAAAGATAAGAGGCGCACTGCGCCTGACACCTTCAAAAGTAAAGTTGACAAGTCCCATGTATCTGTAATTTCAACAACACGTCAATACTGGAGTGCAGAATATTCAGGTTACTGTTCGGTGGCAGAAATAGATATGGTGATAGCACTTCCCTGGCCGAACTCTTTCACAAGGAGCTCTACTGCTAATTTGGTTGTTTTTTCAAATTCGTTACATCACTTTAATATTGATTGTGTACTCTATTGACCCTTTTTTTCATTATAATTAATTTTTTGAGAAGGAAAATTGGCGGTTCCAAATTTTATGTTTTATTTCATATATTAAGCCAAATTGTAACTAGGAATATACAAATGTATTTTTAATAAAACAAGTATATTTTTTTTGTAACGGATTGTCAGTGCACATAGATTACATTTTTTTATAGAATTAGAAAATGCACAAGTTATACAATTCAATAAAGAAATCTGTAAACAGGGAATTCTACTCTAGTAGCTTAAATAAAACGTGGAAGCATATCGCGTCATATGAATCCTAGGAATGTTCATAACATAGGGGTGGGACTCCAGCCTACTACTATTGATTCCAGTACCCGGTGATTGAAAAGGGATGGTGGAAATAATTCATGTAATTCCATCGCAACCTCTCCTTTAGAATACAAATAAGCTAGCAACTTTACGATATTGTTCAAGGTTCTGCAACTTCGCCTTCTAAATCCGAGAAAACTTAATTTAGCCAATCAACGCGGAACTAATTCACAATTATATCAAAAAAGCTATTAATTAATAAAAATTTTAATGTAAATAAATATTCGTAGAAAACTAAACATGTCTATAATAATATTATTAAATCGTAACTCTCTCAGAATCTCGTTTGAAAGTGGAATTAAACATGAAATGTAAATAATCTTCAAAATGATAAAATTCTGTTCCTCGACTAAATTTCACCTTTGACGATGACTCGAGTCTTGTGACACTTTCTCGTTTCCGTATTGCTTAGAGATTTTTTGCTTTTATTGGATTCTGATACTTGTGGTATAGCCGGAAATAGGATAACAGTGTTTTGTTTATTAATTAATTTTATGATAATTTTTACACTCGTAAATCAGTATTGGACTCTCAAAATGTTATGAAATAAAAAAAATCTACATTTATCTACTGTCAACACAGGTTATACATGTCAAATTCTGAATTGGCAACACTTGTGATGTAAAAGGCGTCTTTGTATATATAATCAAAATTAATGAAAAAGCGAAGTAGCTTTGTCTGTTACATTTTCGCGCCTAAACCGCTGAACCAATGTTGATAAATATTGATAGAGATAGATAGGACTCACGAGAAGGATACGGGTTAATTTTTCTCACAGAAATAAATCTTAAGAGTGTATTACCAATACGGTTCATTTTGAGAGGCAGAGTCACGGGCTTTGTTTAATAATTTTTGGGAATCGTCTTTTTACACCGCATAGTTAATCAGTATAATATACTCAATTTTACCATGTATTTTTTCCGTGGTGATAGATTCGACATTTTCACTGTAATGCGGAACCAACCAAAGCTATTTGAGTTTGTATAGATTTTTCCATCATCGTCATCTTTATATCAGCCGGAAGACGTCCACTGTTGAACATAGACCTCCCAAAAGATTTGCAGACTAGCCGATCGAACGCGACCGTCCTTACCAGGTCATCCGTCCGTCTAGTAGGCGGCCGTCCCACTGAACGCCTTCCGGATCGTGGTCTCCATTCGCGAACGTTTCTGCCCCAACGGCCGTCAGAGCTATGTGCCCTGTCCACTGTTACTTCAACTTGCTAATCCTTTGAGCTATGTCGGTGACTTTCGTTCTTCCACGGATCTCCTGATTTCTGGTTTGATCACGTAGAGACATGCCGAGCATTGCTCGCTCCATAGCTCGTTGAGCAACTTTGAGCTTTTTTATGAAACCCATTGTAAGTGACCACGTCTCATAGCCGTAGGTCATCGACTAGATCATACACTCTTAAAGGAGGTGAAATAGTGGATGAAGGTTTGTACGGAGAACCTATGAAAATTAGTGTAGTACAATGGATTACTAGAATTACTTATTCTACGCAGACGAAGCCGCGGACACCAGCTTGTAATAAATATGGGTACGTATTTTCATGTCACGACGTGTGACGTGTATTGTGACAGTGTGTGACACATCAGGCATATCGAAGCTACCGGTAGTTTTTTGTGTCACGCAGACTAGCTTCCGCTGTGGCTTTCCTTACCTTTTCTCCTATGGGAATTCAATGGTATATAAATGTGTGAACGGTATTTTAATACATGTAGGAAATTGCGCTTCCTACACAAAGCTTTGGTTTTAAAAAAAGCGTGAGGCGCTCATTATACTTTCATGGTAATTACAATGGTGTTATGAGATGGTATGCAGACTGTTACCTCGTCAAACATAGAGTGATAACCAACACGTGTCACTGCCGAACATAGCTCTTTCCTAAGAAGAATACATACAGGTTTCATCGTGTTATTTTCTATCACCGTTGGAGAGAGATTTAGTAATAAAAGTACGTAGGGATGTGAACCGTCTAGTCGGGCCACCGAGGTCGAGCAAGAATCAAGGAAGTATTAACTCCAATTAAAATTGTTAGTTACGAAATCATGAAAGTTTTCACATCTATAAAGGTCAATTACTTTTTTTTATAGATATGCGGCTTCCTGGGGAGAAGTTTGTCTTATAGGCCTTGTTATATAAATATACTTTCAGAACCAGGGAGATACCAAGTACAAGTCATACGCCTGGTGGTAAGCGACATGCCTGTCGTGTCGTGTGTTACCGTTGCAGTGCTGCTCAGAACTCTAAACCGCAGAGATCTGAGGGGTACCGGCACTGCGCCCGTCACCTCGAGACATAAAATTTGAGTCTTATTGTGTACCTGCAATTTAACCAGCACCTTACTCTTCAAAATTGGTACGCAGTAATGCTCAAATTACTGCTTGGCGGCAGAAATAAGTAAGGTGGCAGTACTTAAAAAATAATATTTAACCATCTGGCTGTCACACTGCCGTATGTGTATTTCAATAACGCGACCATTTAAAACAGCCTTTAAGTGCACGTAATAAAAACCACAAAAACCTCAACTATGTTAGCGCAATTTATCATAAAATTGCCTACAGAATGTAGGACATACCTGGCATTAGGACATACCTTGGTATTATGCAAAGTATAATGAATGTATAGAGTTCTTAAGTAGCTGATGGCCTTAGGATTGCAATTTACATCTCTACGTTACTTCTCGTGGATGATAATTCTCATAACTATGGGATACTGTAGACTCATTGCGTCGTTCTGTTATTGTTTTGATCTCGTTGAATTTTTCTTTCTTACTGTGTTTTGTAAACTATTTTCATTATTTATAAGAATTCGATATGGTGACAGGCAGAGGCGGCTCGTCCTAAGGAGCGCTGGCGCAGTGAAGTCCCACTCCTATCCAACCCACCAAAATAAATTTATTAATTATGCTTTCATATCATATTAGTAGCCGCAGTATTTTTTTTATTAATGAACGACAAACACACAATTACGTTTTTATCTTTCTCTTTAATATAGTATAGCATACTGACCCTTGAGTGGAGCGCTTCGTGGTGCGCTCCTATGAAGCGACATTGTTTACAAAGTTCAGTTTTGAATTCTATGAGGGCGAAAGAGAAATTTCTTAACGGCACGACACGTGAAACAAAAGATTAGTATGAGGAAATTTAGACATCTTTAGACATTAGACAGGTGCTCCACGTAAATAAGCAAACCGTATTTTTTTCGCACGCATTTTGTTGTGGTGTAAAATGGTTGTAAAAATTATTATTATTCAATCGTTGTTAAGTCGCGTAGTGTTTAGTGTCATTATTTAAAATGGAATACTATAATGAGAGTTCCATGTTTTATTAAAAAATGTATAGGTAAGTAAACTCCCTCTGAAATCTCCCACGAGCCGCCTCTGGTGACTTATATCAAAGTAATACTGTCTTCTTTATCACAACTAACGTAATCGACATTTTTAGCAAAATGAATAATAATAGTGATAATAACATACACACACTTATAGCCTCGCACTAGAGACACCCTGTAACGCAGGTATCATGGACACACATAAACACCCAAACTCACGAGAGAAATAAATGTAGGCCGTACAAATATTTCTCCCCGTCCGGGATATAAGTATCCCAATTACCTGTAATACAAAGTATGACTTAATAGCTACGTATAATAATAGCAGGAAACCGGTAATTAATAATAATAGAAGCTAATTATGACTAACAATAACAGAATACCTATAGGGTCAATGCTATTATCCACTTGTATAACCACTTCTACACGGGACGTAACTGATACGTTGGATTGTACTTCAAAATTACCATTAAAAGCAAGTTTTGAGAATAAGGCAAAATAGGTTTAAAAACATAACGTACGTAGCATTATACTTATTATACAAAACAAGGCTAGCACACGAAGGGGTCGGGCTCGGCCTGCGGCGCGTGGTCGGGCTTAAATTGCGGAGTGTGCTTATTCTCTTCAATGACACAGCGGATAGTACTATGAGCAATTGATGAGGAGGTTCTGGGTATTGTCCTCACAGTTCTTGTTATTCTGGTATTCATAGTACAGGTAATTCCCTAATTTGTGACCAGACATTTGGTGTGATTGTTTGGCAAAATTTTACAATGTAATTTTAAGAAGGACGGCTGAAAAGTAATCTTCCTTATGCTGAAATAAATGACGATTGGAAGATTATTTTAAATCCTGTGACGGAAATACTATACTTATATTATATACTATATCATACTCTATACTAATACTTAAATTTTTTAGTAGAAAAGGACACCAATTACAATTATTTCATTAAAAATAAAACCGAATTCAAAAGTTAGCTCCGCTTGCGCTGTATACGTCATCGTGGTCACGGCAACGTAAACCGAAATGCATAATATAGAAGTCCTCATCAAAATAATAATATGAGACCAAACACAAAGTAGCTGCGGTATACCTATGAGGTGTTCCTCTCATCTGTCTGCCATTTCCATCATTAGATCAGCTCTAGGCTACTAGTACTTTCTGACATATTGTCCATGAATAGCGAAATATGATAAATAAAAAAGTGAGTCTAAAATTAAAAAAAAAAACAAGCGCGCGACACCAGTGTCCAGTATCATTCTTTAATTAGAGACAATCAAAGGGCTCAATTTATATTTCGGCGGAATGTAACGGAAGTGAATTTTTGCAACATAGCATAATGAACTTTATGGTCAGTTGGGTAACGTACAAACTAAATAGATACAGGCATAGATAGTTTGTGCGTTACACTGTTGATCATAAAGTTTATTATGCTATGTGCAATATAGTTACAAAACATCGCGTCCATTCCGTTCCGCCACTTTATAAATTGAGCCAAAGAGATAACTTTTCAGCTTCCCGTCCATTGGCCGTTATTTTTTTCATGTACGTATGTAGCAAAGCACTAGGTGAATTAATATTATCGAGGTATTTATTGCTTTGCTCACCGATTTACTAATTCCCTATATTGTTTGGTCTTGTTTCATAGTAGTATCGAATACAGATGAGCAGCACAAAAATATTGGTGTTCTTTTGAAACTAACAGGGAGCGAAAGAGATGCGATAATAAGATTTTGAAATTTGTCAAATTATTATTATTTTGTGATAACAAGTGGCGGGGCGAACAAGTCATGCGCCTGGATGATATGCCTGTCCTGGCCTGTGCCTGTAATTTCGCCAGCACCCTCACCCTTCAAAACCGATACGCAGTACTGCTCACATTACTGCTTGGTGGCAGAAATAAGTAAGGTGGCAGTATTTCCCTAGACGAACTCTTTCACAAGAAGCTAGTAGGGCTACTACCACCAAAGAATACATGCGTAGCATTTTTTGTATATTATATAAACACTATAAGTATTTGTTATATGATTAAACGTAAGATACGTAACATTTCAAGATTTTTTATACCTGTGAAGATGTATGTTGGAATAAGTACCTATAATTTTTATGAGGTAACTTTTCATTTCAAGAATTTTCTATTACGATTGACGAACTTAATTGGCTTGTAAATACTATAGATCTTATTACCATGGTACTAGAATTTGGAATAGACGTCACTTAATAAAGTAATCCGAAATAGATTGGTCTCGACAATGTTTTAAAGTCCATAAGCATTAAATACATGAGAAAATTTTTGCAATAAGTGCCTCTACTAAGAAATTTTGTGAACTTGTTCTTAAATATAACAATCAAAAACCATCAACTCCGTGAGAATAAACTTTAATTAAAAAAACTAAACAAATGATACATTAAACTAGTTAATGACAAATCTTACCGACACGTGAGAAATCATCCGACCTTGTAACACGAAATGACAGATTGTCATTAACACAACAATGTCACTACTGTCAACTGTCACAGCACAGGACACAAGTCACAGAGAGAACACACTGCAAAAGGCCGCGAAAAAGAAATTAAGCGGTCGCGATTGGCCAGTGAGGAACGTTCGAAATTCAAATGGGCCTACGTAGTCGGTGCGCACGCGTGTGACAGCGACAAGTGTTTGACGCACACTGAGTGAAGCGGTTTCTCAAATGACTGGTTGTTGAAGAGCCTTCTCCATTCACATTATCGAGTGAAATGTAGGTGCTCGTTTGGATTATCATCTTTATGCTGTGTCCATAAAACATATATTATTTGCAGCACGTTTGGTGTTTATTACATTTCGGTTTGAATTGAGTCGAATTGCCACCTCAGTCGCCTTTGCATGCGCGCGAGTCGAATTTTTTGCGGTGTTTCGTTTTAGTTTATTTTCCATAGTTATTATTGAAAAGATTTAAAATTTAAAATTAGACTTTTAAGGCGGTTGAAATATTTTCACATTTAATATTTGCGTGTTTCATTCTTCTACTTCATTTAAAATTGTTTTCTAAAGGTATTTATTTATTTATAGGATCAATGACAGAGTTACAAAAACATAAGCAATTATTAAGATAAGATTTACAAAACACACTGCAGAGACTTGCAAAATAATAATTTTGTAATTAATGGAGCCATTATTATTAGTTCCAAGAACCAAGAAATTTTAATTTTACGTTGATGTCTTTTGTACTGCGATCTTGTTACCGTGAAAATATGATGGAAAAAAATGTATTTCACAAGCAAATCAGTACTACCAACTCTTAACGGATAAATATTTTGTAAATGGTCGAAAATTTCAGTGCCTCAGTGAAAAACGGAATAAGAAGAGTTATGCGCTTTTGTTTTAATTGCATCATTGGCTTCAGCGTGTCCGATTACATAATATATCAAAAGGACACGTCTCTAGCAGTCTTCTAACATCGTTTTTTATATTATTGGACTAAGAGCATAAGTCACTGTTTCTAATGCCATAATATTAGTTATCGGGCATTGTTTATGAGTCTAAAGGTACAAGTGTTCTCGACTCAAAAAATATATTTAAGTTTAACGAATAACTACAAATATACTGTTACATAAAGACACTTTTCGTGTTATTCCATAATGACGGGGGAAAAAAGTAGGATTAAAAGCGACTATTCCCTTATTTTTTTTGTATATTTTTGCCTATGGTGCGTTCGTTCTTGTTTTTCTGCTTAGCTAGCCTGATTTTCCCGCTACTCCTTAACACCAAGTTTAAGCAAGAAATTACGAAGTTATCTCAAAGTCTAATGTACTTTCTTGCTTAAACTTAGGCAATATTCGTGAAAAATTTGCTTTGCGTTTTATAAATCTCAACTTAAGCTGGCTTCTCACGGCCTGTGGTCTCACGGGCAGTGCCGCGCGAAATCGTGCCATCGCACTGGGAGAACAGTGTCGTCGCGTGAGCCAGTGGCGCGAGCACGCCCGAACAAATCGGCGCAGCGTGTCGCGGGCTGTGAAATCACGTGCCGAGTAGGAAGCCGCCTTCAGAACGTACAACTCAAAAAATCCCAGCACATCAAGCTACACATTGACGTATCTTGTTCCGTTGCACTGGAGGCGATTTTCGAACGTTCATCAGGCTACACATTTGTGCCGTTTGAGCCGTTGTCCGTACATAAAGGCATAACTCACTTAACACAGTTACATTCGCATTTGTAATATTAGTTTGGATTGACATAAGTTCCTGTTTTATCAAAACGACAACAAATAATTGGGTTGAAAATAATTTAAACCAGGATCTCTTTGAATCCTGAGGATGATGCTTGTTACAACAACTTGATAGCGTCTTAGAACAGTGTGATTGCTTATTTGTGTTATAATTATAAGTTTGGTGCAAAAATGTATACAGGGCGAAAAATAATCAATAATCGTCCCAAAGTGGTACGTGAATAAAATTATATTCTTATATATAATAAATATATAATTTTGTCAACCGTTGGGCGAATACCTACTTTCTTACAGTTATAATATTTCTATTAATTAACATCTTTAAATTAAAAGTAATAAGTTACATTTCAAAAAATCCGTGGCTTAGTTGGTATAGCTTCTGCCTCGGTATGCAAGAAGACGTCGGTTCGAATCCGACCGGATCGAAGGAATTTTTTCTGAGTGTTCGATCTTTGTATTAATAATTATAACAAACTAGTGGAGTAATTTCACAAAAAATAATTGAATATCAATTCAATAAAAATTTAATTAATACAATACATTTTCATATTTTTATACAATTTCTTTATTTTTACCGCACAGTTTTTTCCATACACATTTTTATTTGCTTGAATAAGTCGCACTATTTCTTTGTTTGTGCTTTTTTTTTTTTTTTTTTTTTATTAAAAATGGACGTACTCTTTACCACTACCTAGCCCTAGAGCAAAGATGAGGTCTACGTTGGTACGAGCTCGCCCAGAAGATGCCTATTCAATCGCACCTTGAAAATATTCGGGTTGTATGTACTCGGAAAAATAGACGCAGGCAGGGAATTCCAGTCACGGGCTGTGCGCATTATAAAAGATGACGAAAAGCGCTTAGTACGTCTTAAAGGAATATCAACCAGGTGAGGGTGATATCCCGCCGTTCGTCTAGATGTCCGATGGTAAAAGGGGGCGGATGGAATGAGCTGGTGGAGCTCATGGGCACACTCTCCGAAGTATAATCTGTAAAAAATCGACAGACCCGCGACCTTTCGCCGATGGGCTAAACTATGAAGTTTATATTCGAGCTCATCGTCTCCAATAAGCCTCCTGGCTCTGCGATCAATCGAGTCAAGAGCCTCTAGTTGGTATTTCGCTGAGCCATCCCACAGGTGACTGCAATACTCCATGCAAGACCGGACCTGCGCTTTATATAAGGTTAAAAGCTGTCCAGGCGAGAAGTATCGCTTCACCTTGTTAAGGATACCCAGCTTCTTGGCTGCAGTTTGCGCTTTAGACTCTATAGAAGCGCCAAAGTTGAGGTTTGCGCTTAATGTCATGCCAAGAAGCTCTAGGCGGTCGGTAACTGGGACAGATACACCCCGAAAAGTAGGAGTCAGATCAAATGGACTCCTTTTTGCGGAAAAAAGACAGGCCTGCTGTCATAATATTAACTCTTTAGTTTCTAATGTCTATTTTGAACTTTACATTTGATAGTCTTTTAGTTCATTGTTGTCAAATATTTTTGTGGAATAAAACCGTTATTCTAAAGGTTTTATCTTATTTATCAATTTATTCCACAAAATGTTATCAGAATAAATAAAATGGAACGGTTTCTGCGTCCCGATAAACTGAACATTGATCCAACCGGTAATTCCGCCTCCAAGGAATGGGAGCACTGGAAGAGGACGTTCGAGAATTTCTTATCGAACTTTACAAAAGAAACAGCTGGTATGAAAATAGACATACTTATAAACCACGTATCTCCAACAATCTTCGCATACATAAGTGAATGTACTACCTATGAAGAAGCCCTAGACATACTCGACAAACTATTCAATAAACCAAAAAATGTAGTCTATGCCAGGTATATACTAGCTACTAGGAGACAAAAGCACGATGAGAGCATTGATACTTATATGCAGGTGCTAAAATTATTAGCGAAAGATTGTCAATTTGGAAAGGTTGATGCTGAAACGAATAAATCCGATAATATTCGAGACGCATTTATTACTGGTCTCAATTCGAGTAAAATCAGGCAGCGATTGCTTGAAAATCTAACTCTATCTCTTGACAAAGCCTATGATCAGGCGAGATCGTTAGAAATGGCGGAGATGAATTCACAGAGTTACGAATCTTCAAATTTGAATGCTGTACAAGGTTCATCAAAGGAAGAAGAATCATCAGCAGCGTCTTTCTTCAAGCGAAAATGTTTCTTCTGTGGGGGTCGCGTGCATCCTAGAAAAGATTGTCCAGCACTCGACTCTACCTGTCAGATTTGTGAAAAAAAAGGACACTTAGCTAAAGTATGTCGTAGCAAGAAACAGACTGCTGCATCAGTAGTCGAAACTGAAAGTAATAAAACTAGTGCTTGTATAATAGCGGCATCGCCGGACTCGCTTAGAAAGGCTACTGTAACGGCGTACGTTCAAGGGATACGCGCCCAAGCATTAATCGATACAGGCAGCTCAATTAGTTTTATGGATGAGGAATTCTTTAATCTCTGTCGTTTAAAAAAGAAACCGAGTAACCAGAGAATTTCAATGGCTTCGACTACTCTTACTTCCAAAGTAGAGGGACAAACTAGCGTCTCTGCCAAAATTGGAGATTATGAGTACAAAAATCTGAATCTACTCATAGTAAAGAATTTATGCGCTGATCTCATCATTGGACATGATATTCTGCATCAACACTCTTCACTAGAGTTTTCTTTTGGTGGTTTGAAGGAACCTATCAAAGTTAATGTATGCAGTGTTGCTGCAGCTACCGTGCCTGCCGTACCACTGTTTTCTAATGTATGTCCTGAAATTAAGCCTGTTGCTATAAAATCGAGAAGACATAGTGAGGATGACAAAGAATTTATAAAAGAGGAAGTCAGGAAACTTTTGGCTGATGGAATAATCGAAGAAAGCACGTCCCCCTGGAGAGCTCAAGTCCTTATCACAAAAAATGTCAACCATAAGAAGCGTCTTGTCATCGATTATTCCCAAACTATAAACAGATATACTCATTTAGATGCGTACCCTCTACCAAACATAGAGGAGCTGGTGTCACAAATATCTAGATATCGTATATTTAGCGCTATAGATTTGCAAAGTGCTTATCATCAAGTTCCTATTTTGCTCGAAGAACGTCATTTTACGGCTTTTGAGGCTTTAGGAAATTTATACCAATTTCTCCGAATTCCATTTGGCGTTACAAACGGCGTCTCAAGTTTTCAAAGGACGATTGATTGGGTAATCCGAAAAGAAGATCTCAAGGGAACGTTCGCTTATCTTGATGATATTACAATTTGTGGCAAGACCCAGCTTGAACATGACAAAAATCTTAAGAAATTCTTGGCAGCTGCCCAGAAATATGGCCTCACTCTCAACAAAGAAAAGAGTAAGTTCTCACAAAACTCTATTAATATTCTGGGTTATAACATAGAAGACAACATTATCAAACCGGATGCAGACCGCTTGCGCCCACTTCTGAACTTACCACCACCATCTGATCTATCATCACTGAGAAGAGTGATAGGAATGTTTGCACACTATAGCAAGTGGATTCCAAATTTTTCAGAAAAAGTTCACGATCTTACTAATGCAAGGATATTTCCATTAAGCGACAATTTAGTCAAAAACTTCAATGTACTCAAATCAGATATAGCCAAATCAAGTATTCATGCAATTGATCATAACGCACCATTAACCGTGGAAACAGACGCGTCAGATCATTCTATCGCAGCAACTTTGTCACAGGATTCTCGGCCTGTTGCCTTTTTCTCCAGAATGCTAAACAAAAGTGAACATAATCACTCGGCGATAGAAAAAGAAGCTTACGCTATCGTCGAATCGCTGAAGAAATGGCGTCATTTTCTTATCGGCAAACCCTTCCGGCTTATCACTGACCAAAGATCAGTATCTTTCATGTTTAACAATAAACTAACGAGCAAAATAAAGAATGAGAAAATACAACGCTGGCGTCTGGAGTTGGCGCCATTTAAGTATGACATTATATATCGTCCAGGCAAACAAAATGATGCAGCGGATGCACTCTCACGCGTATGCAGCTCAATATCGACACGAAATGAAAAGTTATATTCATTGCACAATGATTTATGTCATCCGGGCATAGCACGAATGACCCACTGGCTTAAATCAAAGAATCTACCATATTCTACGGAAGAAATTAAAAACATGACTAAGTCGTGTAAAATTTGCTCCGAAATAAAGCCAAGATTTTACAAACCTACAATTGATCCAGTTTTGATAAAAGCTACGTCGCCTATGGAGAGACTGAGTATCGATTTCAAAGGACCAGTACCTTCTAATACGAGAAATAAATACATTCTTACAGTAATAGACGAATACTCACGCTTTCCATTTGCATTTCCGTGCCCAGACATGAACTCTTCAACGGTAATCAAACATTTAAATGAAATTTTTATGCTATTCGGTATGCCGTCTTATCTACATTCAGATCGAGGAACCTGTTTCATATCTACTGAAGTAAAGAACTTCTTAAATTCACGTGGTATTGCGTCGAGCAGAACTACACCTTATAACCCAAGAGGAAATGGACAGGTTGAACGTTTTAACGGAACTCTTTGGAAATCAGTGCAATTGGCTCTACGTTCGCAGAACCTACCAATAGAAAATTGGGAAAAGGTTCTAAACCAAGCTTTACATTGTATCAGATCTTTGTTGTGCACAGCGACTTGTTGTACGCCGCACGAAAGAATGTTTACACATACCAGGCGGTCATCGAATGGAGTATCTATACCTACCTGGCTGACGGAATCAGAAAAAGTATTAATGAGAAAATTTAATCGTACTAACAAGTATCAACCTATTGTTGAAGAAGTGACTCTTCTGCACGTAAATCCAGACTACTCCTATGTTCGCTATGAGGACGGTCGAGAGACAACTGTTTCCAACCGACATTTAGCACCATTGAGCCTAGATAGTCAGATAATGGTAGATGAAACAACAAATATTGAGGCTCTTAACGAAAACTCCAATGAAGTGGAGGACCCTAATCCTACATCTCAAAATTCTGAAACCAGATCTTCTGATTCTGAAAATGAGATTGAAGACATAGACCACCCTGAACCTCCAGCGGACACCGAACCAGAGATTCGAAGGTCTGCAAGAGTGCGACACCCACCAGCCCACCTCGAGGATTATTTTCAAGGCTGATAGAATGTCATAATATTAACTCTTTAGTTTCTAATGTCTATTTTGAACTTTACATTTGATAGTCTTTTAGTTCATTGTTGTCAAATATTTTTGTGGAATAAAACCGTTATTCTAAAGGTTTTATCTTATTTATCACCTGCGTTTTGGTGGCGTTGAAGCTGACCAGATTGTTGTCACCCCACTGGGCAACAAGACTTAAGGTCAGGTTCGTTCGCTCTACCATAGCCTCTCTCAGCGAACGAATATCTTCCCTGCCGTCTCTTGCGCTAGACAGATATCTCTCGGTAACTGTACTGTCATCTGCATACCCAACTATACCCGGGACCAATAGGTCATTGATGTGTAGCAGGAAAAGAGTCGCCGAGAGAACAGACCCTTGAGGAACTCCAGCATCAATAGCCATCAAGTCAGATGAGCAGCCTTCAATGACTACTCGAATCGACCGTTCCCCAAGGAAATCTGATATCCAGCTGCAAAAGTCGGCAGGGATGCCGTAAGCAGGAAGCTAAAGATGAGTGTCATAAATATTGTTATAACCGTAGAACAGTCGCAGCTAAAGTAATGAGTCGTTTTATGTCTTAAAATTTGTTAACATAAGTCGTGTTGTATTTTTACGCTCTTTGTAAACAAGGACACAACTCGAAAAAAACTTTTAAAAAATATTGAAATTGTGATTGGCTGTTTAACCAATACCCATCAAACGAAAGCTTAGACGTATACCTAAAGCTAGAAACCATAAAAAATGCTAGTAATAAATGCGAACAACCAACAATCAATAAAAGTATGGTTTTTTGTCTATCCTGAAAAGTGTCGATTTTGAATTATTCCCTTCTTCACTGGAGGCACTGATTTAATATACACGTTCCGAATTATGACTTAATTCAAAGAAAACATACTACATATACTTGAAGAAAACTAAAGGCTTCATTATCTGGTCCCAAAATTTGCGACTTTGCATCACACCCGTCGCACAAGTAGGTATATGATAAAATGTATCTAAAAAGCTGATGTCATCTTTTTCTTTACACCTTTATCCATATAAATTTACCTTTTGCATGAATTCTTTGAATATCTTCGTTTCAAATACATTGATGTTTTTTTCGATTATGTTTTCATAAGAGTGTAACGTATTATGCAATGTATGTTGGTAATTTTGTACAATCGTCGCTTAGAACGTTTTATAATAGATTATAACTTCGCATCCGTCCAACACTGCCCGCAATGACCGCAGTTATTCTTTAATAATATACAAAAAAAGATGTTAAACAGGTCCATGGAATAATACGTCTTTTTGCATTATTTGGTAGTTTAATAAACCGAATCAATTTAATATAAAACCAGGTAAAACTTTGAACCAAAAAAAGCAAAGTAATATTTAACTGAAGAAGAGACTTTAGACGCGGTACGAAATCATTTAAATCTAAGGTTAGTATATGTACACAAATAACAAAGACAAAGCACAATAGGACACCACTACTTAAGTGTGTAATATCAAGTGCCGGGACGAACAAGTCCTGCAGGCGTGTGTCTGGGATTTCGGGATGTATCTGCCTAGATACATCCCGGAAGATTTGCTTGTAGCATTGATTGGGTGAATTACTACTGTCCAGGCCTTGTTAACTTTGCACTTCCATTTTATTTCTATTTACATAGATTGGTCTTGTTGCATAATAGCGTTCAATACAGATGGGTTGTATCAAAAATTTCTGTTACTTTTAAAACTAACAGGGAGTGAAATGGATGCGGTAACAAGATTTTGAAATTCGTCGAATTATTTTTATTATTTTTTATGATACCAACGGACCGGACGAACAAATTGTGTGCTGGGTGTTAAACGACGCGCCTGTCCGTAGTAGTTGCAGTGCCACTCAGAATTTAAAATCGCAAAGATCTCAAGGACGCAGCCTCTTCACCTGTCACCCTGACACATAAGTTGACAAGTTCTATGTGCCTAAAATTTCACCAGCATCCTTACCTTTCAAAAATGGATCGCATTAATTGTTTACATTTTCTGTTTGGTAGCAAAAATAGGTAAGGTGACAGTACTTCCCCGGACAAACTGTTACACAAAGAGCTATTTTTATTTTCGATTGATGACGAGATCTAGCATTCGATTCCCTGCAGGATCAATTTGGGAAACCAATTTTTCGACATTGATTCAGCATTGCATACATAAGATATACAGCATACGTGGCTGAATTTAAGTAAAAACGGTGTAGCTAGTCATGCAGCAAGCTGACGTTTTTATGGTTATCACGTTTTCTATACTCTGACTTGACTTAAAAAAATTTTTCGAAGAAAATGTGCGAAATGTCCATACTGTTCGATTTACTGAGTGTTCGATATTTGTATTAATAATTATAACAAACCAGTGGAGTAATTTCACAAAAAATAATTGAATCAATTCAGTAAAAATTTCATTGAAAATGGAAGCGAGACGCCTACCCATAACAATTGCAGAACCACTAAAGCTCCCGATCTTAAAAGGTCAAGTTGGTAAGTTCTGAAGACCACAGCCACTACGTCCGTCATCCAGAGACATAAATTGACAAGTCCTATGTACCTGTAATTTCACCAGTACCCTTACCCTTCAAAAACCGAAACGCAATAATGTTAACTTATACACAATATATGGAAATACTTTCCTGGACGAACTCTTACACAAGAAATTCTACTCAGCTCAAATGAAACTACTTAAATCTCTTAATAATGGTCCCAAGTAAAAAGATATTCAATGTTATTACGTACTTCATATAAAATTTAATTTCTCAGTCGCCCAAAAGTGTCACTGTGTGCGCAGGTGCGGTTTAATTATTCTTTTATAAAATAGAAGAAAAAATTTCAAAGCAATTCTTAACAAGCTGGAGATTAGTTAGCGGTGTGGTGTTGTCAAAACTTGAAAACTTGAAACGGTGTTACCTGCACGGCCGGATCACCGCGGACGAGCGAGGTCGCAAGACGACATTCCTCATCACTTATTATTTTTAGGCATTCGCTAATATACCTACTGCGTGTGGATACAGAATCAAAATATGTTAAGTAGTGTTAGTCATATTTTCGAATATGAACATCTTTCACGTCCTTGAAAGGAAACAATGTCAGCTACACAAATGTCCTTGAAATGAAATATCTTTGCTATATAAAATCGTCATTGAAAATAAACATGTTTAGTAAAAAAAACGTACTTGAAAGTGAACAACTTCAGCAATATAAAATGTCCTTGAAAATAAACACTTTAGCAACACAAAATTTTTTTGACATTAAACTACATTAGCAATATACAATGTTTAGATAGTGTTCAATTACATTTATCATAGTTAATTACTCATCATCATTGTCAGCAGCATATTATGTTCCAGTGGTGGTATAGGCCACCGCACTGACCTTTTTATATTGTCTATAGTTGGAGATTATGTTTTACCGTTGTCATACCGTTCATTAGTGAGAAGTTTTGTTATTAAACATGTGCATACCGCCACAGAGATTCGACTGTCACCAACATCCTCTCACATGTCTACCACCATTGTTACTTAATTAATCACCAGATTTTTTTATTGTCACGATGAAGAAGTTGTGCACCTGGTGGTAAACGATACGCCTGTCCATAGCAGTTCCAGTATCATTCACAACTTTAAATTGCAAAGATCTGACGGGCACTGCCACTGCCCCCGTCATCTTACAATATATATTAAATTGATAAGTCTCATGTGCTTGTAATTCACCAGTAACTTTACCTTCAAAACCGGAACGTAGTAATGCTCTCAATACTGCTTGGCGGGATAAATAGGTAAGATGGTAATACTATCCTCGGCGATCTATTCCAGAAGAAGCTCTACTGCTACTAAATTATTTATTTATTACTAATAATGGTCGGACTACCAACCCTACAGAAGTTCCCTTTCATGATTGATTGGACAGTCGGAGTCCAACCTATAAATTAACCGAAAGAAGGCGCGGTAGGGAAGGCTACACAATTAGTTATAGACCAGATAAAAGTGGAGGTTAATTCGAACAGAAGAACAGAACAGAGGGGAATTTGAATAATAACAAAAAGACACAAAGACTTTGTATTTAAATTTTATTTGCTACATTACACGTATTATAAGTTATGTGTTACATATTCTTCTACGTCAAACGTAATCAGTTACATTCAGGAACCAAAACAGGTGGTTTCAGTGTACGCAAAATTGAACACCAAACAGCATGCGTTTAAGGTAATATTTGTAATAACGTAATAATACTAATGTTTCAGACAACCACATCGTCTCCAACCAGAGTAACAAAACTAAATCCGGAGAAATTCTTTTCCCGACCACTAGACCAGTAGTCTTCAAAAGATCGGTAAAATGTTACAATACCGGTAATCGAAAATAAAACACATTGTAAATTTTATCGTGCTCGAATGAATTTTGAGTTCCATTTAGTGTGCGTTGAAACGTCGATAAAGGTCGAGACACGGTTACATTACAAAACAACTAACACTTATACATTCATTATTTACCATGCCACGCTGCTAGGCACATTATGAGTTTTTCTCTAAGAAAGGAATCGTGATCCACCAAGATTGTTCAATGCAAATTAGGAAATACATAAAATTATAATCTTCAATAAATAAATGGCTTTGTAAAAGTCCACCACATTTATTCCACAATAGGAATTAAATTTCAATCCAAATTGAAAACTAGGTATTTAATTATATCTGCATGAATATTAATCAAGTTCGTGATATAAACCTGATTTTAACAGATATTACTTTTTTATGTTAATCGAACTAATAAACATTCTGATGAAAACTGGTTACGTCGCCAATCAACACTTGCGTGGTATATAAGTTTTTGAATTTCCACTCATAATACCGGAAAACAGCACTATTGTTTTGCAGCATTAGGAAGCATTGGGAAGAGCGGTGATACTTATCTAGGCAGATTGTGCACAGAACCAGCTGTAGATATAATTGTAACTTTGGACATGAAACTATTTTTTCGGACCTAAATCCAGTATATTTGTTTTTTTAAACAAACCCTACGTTCTGGCTCTTTACTGGTCTCAATGTCACGGCTTATAGAAATTGTGTTAGTCATCAAATGGGCGGTTTGCTCTGAATTAGAGTAACTAAAATAATTAATCAAGTAAGCGAGGGACCTGAGGGAACTGAATGTGCCCGAATGGTCGGAACTGGCACAAGACCGTAAGAAATGGCGAACTTTGGTGTCGGAGACCAGGATTTTTATTTTTATTTTTATCAATTTATTTTTCATATATTAAGGATAATGTATTTTTTTATAACATCAAGTGACGGGACGAACAAGTCGTGCGCCCGATGGTAAGCCTGTCCATAACAGTTACAGAGCCACTTAGTTCTTAAAATCGCAAAGATTTGAGGGGCACTGCCACTACGCCCGTCACCCTGAGACATAAGTAGACAAGTCGTATGTGCCTGTAATTTCACCCTTACCCTTCAAAACCGGAACACAACAATGCTGACATTATTGCTTGGCGGCAGAAATAGGAAGGTGCAGTACTACCCTGGACTAACTCTTTCACAAGGAGCCCTGCTGCTACTGAAATACCTGAAAAACCACTGCGGGTTTATCCATCCACAGCGATTGGCTCTAACAAGTATTAATCCACTTCGAGTCGCTGAGTCAGCGAAGTAAGTAAAATATTAATTAACACTAAATACCTTAAAAAGACGTGGTAACCTGTTGACCTTCCGCCTTTCTATCGGCTGTCGGTTAGAATTCGGGCTCGCATCTCTGAGTTTATCGGAATTTTGAGTGAAATTTATTTGAAATTTACAGTTTTTCGGAGAAGAAAGCGATAAAAGCGAAACGTGCGAAATCTCCTACTCGCATTGTGTTGACACAAAGGCGGACTATAAGAAAAAAGAAGAAGGCTAAAAAGACTCATGCCCAATAGTCCCGTATATTTCTGCATAAGTTTTGTTTATAGTGACTTTTCCTGACCTCTTGGGTATACGGCAAGAGCATTATAACCTGTGCAAGGACAGGGACCTTACAATTCAGGTCCTGAGCCCAGATCAGCCCGTGGAGAAAGTTGTCACAGACTGTTGTCACGGACTTCATCTGATTCTAAAAGGGTAGTAGTAGTAAGTTGTTGGAAAGAATATCGTGTAAACCAGACAGTGTTAAGAGTCTGTGATATAAAAGTTTGCCACTAGATGGCGCTAATGTAAACCTTCTTTGTTTTGGTCGGTTTATCTGTACTATCATCTCACCGCACTTCAATTATTTGGTGTTACAATAGAATCTCTTTTTACAACCTTAATCCTGCTTTATTTTTTTACGATAACCCATCGTAAGTAAGATCTAGTGCTTCGAGTGATCTCGTAACTCGTAGGTACCTAGCAGTGGGACGCATTAAATAGGTTGTTTAGGAAGTGCCCTATTTGTAATTTACCAAAAAACATATTCCAGTTTAAGCTACATACATCAGCTGTGCCATAGAACCTGCTAAGGGAAACAAATATACGCGATTTATTTCGGAAAAACAGTTTCATTTCCACTGTGTAGCAAACGAGACAGAACTCGGTAATTTAACTTTCTTGAAAACTTAACATGGGTCTCAAGATATAATAAAAATAGAACGAGTTGTTATAGATTTTTTTTATAAAAACTATACACATCAACAACATACATACGTACACTTATAATATATATGCATATATCTAAAATATATATGTGTATCTATGTTTCTAAAATAGTAGATTTCTTGCAGGTAAATAAGTGTCTACACGGGCATTTTCAAAATTTTATGGCTTTTAGAATAAGTACCGATACTGCATCAGAGTTATTCGGGTTTGACGAACGTTGACGATTAACATTATCAACCTATAGTCTGTCTTTTTTGGAGACGGAGTAAAATGACATTTGCAGGGCTGCCAGTTTTCATAAAATATTAAATAGTCATGTAGCTGTTGTCGACAGTTTTATCGATAGATTGTGAAAGAAGATAAAGTTTTGTCAAAAAATACTGAATTGTGAATATTAAGACGTTCTAATAATTACTAATTGCGTTATTGTCTTTTTTGTTATCATTTTGACAGTTGGCCTACTAGTATCGAATACAATTTTTATTCATAAACATTTTAACAAGAATAGGCGAAATGTATTGTCTAAATTGAATTAATTTAAATTAATATGACTCCTGTTTGTACTTTTTGTAGACGTAGTATATAGTACTAAATACAGTGTATATATGATAAACTTACAAAAATTGACAATTCAAATTAACCTGTGCTCAATAATTGAACGAATAATGGGCCGATATGTATGAGGATGATTGAAATGAATGAAGTTCGGTTATTTATTCCATAAGCTTGACCAATATTCAGTCGATAGTCGATAGAATATTTATCGACTGCAATCACTAGCTGCTAGCAAGCGGGCAACACGTTTGCGCAATGAACTGTCATTTTACTCCGTCTTCAAAAAAGACAGACTATATTTCTTTATAACGTACTTATAATTTGATATACATAGTATTCTCTTCAAATTTTAGTTTAATAGATTAATAGCATAATGTAACGGTAAAATTGTGGTTAGGGTTATGCAGTGATGTTCTATATTTGAATTAATGTAAATTTTTACTTTGAAAACGTTTAGGTTTTCAATTAAAAATGTGCTATACTGATTTAGATAAAAATACATTATTTTAAATGACGTTTCTCCAGATTGGAGAGTTTTTCAATAATAACTAAATGAAATGTCGATTCCTTACCAAAGTCAGCAGCCTTCCTTTTTTTTGTTATCTTTATTTTTTCGCAGTTTACGGGCGCAAAATTATATAATTGAGTATGTTTTCCATAAAGATACGACATTTGACTTTAATTAACAGACTGAAATTAAAAAATTGCGCTACGACTTGCACAATTGTTTTAAAGCTAGTTTCAAATTTCATGTATATCGGTGGAAAAAAGAGCTTCGATCGTCCAGTTTGCTGCCCTTCGTTTTTATTCGTCAGTTTCCGTAAATCCCGAATGACTCCAAAATTTGGACTTTAAAAAACAATACGATACTATATAATATGAATTACTGGCCACATTTACCAGAACATTTAATCGAAATCACTAGACGAAGTGATTCTTTTTTCAAAAATAACTCTCTGGTATATGTGGCCAGAACATTGCATGGTATTTTTTTTATTCCTCAAAATAATTATGTACGTATGAATACAAGTGCATAATATAATCCGTAAATCGCATATGAAAGTACCATACAGAGTGTTTTTTTTAAATAGGACAGTATTATGGGGAAATCCGAAAACACTGACGACTCAAATCGTGTTTTCTCAATTCCACATTTTTAAGTTATGACTTATGACCATTGACTTACAATTATATGGACGTCGGGTCCGCGCTAAAAAGTGTCCCAACTTATAGGGCGTTAAAATCGTATACAGAGCGTCATTCACGCTTTAGTCTTCGTTTGTTCGACTGACAGCGAAGCAAGCAAAATTAGACAGTACTGCGATGACAATACAATTTAAATTCAACGTTTTAGCTTTTTCATATTCTTTTACATGTCACTACGTTTAAATAGGTTGACTTGGGACATTTTTTCGTGGTTTTTGTATTAGACCTGTCGTCCATTTATTTGTAAGTCAATGCTTATGACAGTATTTGTTTTCATGTGCGAAATGCTCAAAATGACATTCTGCACATAACATAGGCCTATAGAAAAGGCCATAGATTTTCTGGCATTTTTTATAACACCTTGGGGTTTTTTGAATATAGAACGATTAAGAGTCCATGCAACCTCAAATGGCTTTGTTTGGTTCCGCGTAACAGTGAATGGTTGAATTAATAATTTTGAAAAAATATATATTATTATTGAGGGTATACACTGATTACTATATTGTGTGAAGACACGATACCTAAAAATTTTCACTATAGAAAAAAACACAAACTGACTTCGAAAATTTACAAGAAAACCGCTGTTTTCAATACGTATTTTACTTATACACGTATAGTATACGATATATACTTTTCAAACGGCTTCAATTTCGTAAAAAAAATAATTCTGAAATAAAGCCAGTGACCCTGCCGCTCGACCCAAGTAAAATGAACCGTATTAGTAGGGGAAAAATTTAATTCGAGTTGAGGTAGTATCGATTCTTATGTTCATAGTAAAAAAGGTGATTTTACCTTCCAAATAAAATGTATAATCACCAGCAATTTACAATTGAAAATAACATTAAATTCTGTAACACTTATGATAAGAAGCTAGGTGAGTGTGCTATATATATTAAATAATATAAGGTGGTATGCTGTATAAAAAATATGAAGAACTTAATTTATTTACCTTTTAGAGTCCTTGGAGTTCTCATCGCTAAAGTCTGTTACAATCCATTTTAAATGAAATGTAAACAAAACGGTTTGGTTCAATTTCTAAAGCAATCACTCAATAAATCGAATTAGTGACACTTTCACTTACATTTCGAAGATTTTGACTTGATATCTCATCACCATTTCCAACAATATTCATTTGAATAATATCGTAACATCGCATTTGAAAAATTATAGTCAAAAAGTTACGGTATTTTTTAATTAAAGATGTACTTGGTACTTGGTGCAACGGGCTGGTAATTAAAGATGTATAATCAGTCTATGGTTCCGTAGTGCTGTACGGAAAAAAACTTTAAGTTCATTCAATTAAAGTTTTTGTAATCGATTAGTAAATCGATGATTTCAATCGTCATCGAACGAGTATCTAAGTGTAGGGATTTGAAGAAAGATGTGAAGTTAAGATTCCGGAAAATTTAGATATGCTTATATAGGTTATCCAACGAAAACAGCTAGTATGACTCAATTAAACAAATCGATTTATACAGTTAATTATTTGATTTTTAATTGGCAGTAAAAATGGCCATCATTAAACTGTCTATGGTCAGGTCAGTGACTTGTTTGTTTACTTTTTGTTTAAAATGGATTGAAACGAAGTATAGTTACTTAAAGTAAGTCACGTGCATTAGTAAGTAAAGCGCGTAACTATGAAAATGATCTCAGAAATGTTTACTACAGTTTTTGTATAATAATAATCCTATTAAACATGTGCCTTTATGGACTATGTTAGTAAAATTAAATAGTATTCTCTCTACATGTATACATATATAATATATATAATGCTCCTGACTATGGAGCGAAATTTCTAGTTTAGGAAATGTACCTCTAAGGGCGCGTTCTCATTATGTCGCAACATTTTATTTATCGTTGGACGACTGTCGTGTCTAGCTGTTCCAACTAGACGACGTGACGACAATTCATCGATTCACGGCAGCCGCCTTACCGTTTGCACGACAGAATCATTTGAAGCTGCGATTATCTTTCGTCACATTTTTATCGTGGCGTTTTATTTATCGTCAGACGACTGTCGTTCTAGCTCTTCCGATTGTCAAGACAGTCTGTCGTCTTAACGCCAAAAAAGTTGTGAACGACAGTTAATCGTGTTGTTCAATGTGTGAACAGCTTCATATAATACAAACCACGACACTTTAAACTGCACGACTATCTGACGTCATGACATAACGGGAACGCGCCCTAAGACCTGTCCACACGGTAAGTTATATAACGTAAAACGATGTTCCGCGCAAATCAGAAACTCACCCGTGTAGACGGTGCTTTACACTGGCACTTATAGTACAACAAATACTCTAAAGATAGACTTTTAGGCACAACACATATTACATATAATTACATATAATTTTATATAAATTTCTTTAGCCCGAAACAAGATTTTCTAGTTGTGATTGTATGACGTCATACATTGTAGCTCTTGTTTAACGCCTTGACTTTTTCCAGTATCATTTACTTAAGCCTTCTTCTTCCGAGTTAGGAACCAAGTCTGCATGGGTTCAGCTTTGCCCTTCATCTGCACGTGACCACGGTAAGTCAGCTCGAACTGGTCGTTATAGTTGTCATCGCGCATCAGGTAGCTGTAATTGAAATTAATAACACATAAATAATTATATAATAAATAACAAACACAATCATAGCCCCGCACCAGGGAAACCCTGTGTCACGGGTGCCATGGACACATAGACTATCACAAATTACACCCTAACTTACGAGAGAAATAAATGTTTGTGGCAGTTTGTGGCAGAAGGAGAATGAATATTCATTAGATGACTATAAAGTTTCGTAGGCTGACTGAGAGATATTTTGGACAGACAGCATTTTGGACTACCATTTAATCTAGATCTAGTCCTAGTATTTATGCTTTTATATTGACGTCAGGCCTTTGTATTTTTATAAATAAAAGTTTTGAATTTATATAGTATGTAAATGTACGGTATCTCATGAGGAATGGGACATAATGATGTAGAAATGAATGGACCATTTCAGACTTAAATATACAAAAATAGGTAAAAATTAAAAAAAAAAAGGAAAATTATTCTTGGCCACACTTCGCATTATTGGAACAAAAGTTTTTGATATTACTTTTAACACGCAACACGTGGAAAATATCATATTTACTTACGAATTATTCATACATGAATATATGTTTCTGTGGTACACCACATACGAAATATTACTATACAAATATATGTGTTTCCATACATTGCAACTTTACTACATCAACATGTCTAAACGGAAAAAGAAGCAACAAATGAAAAAATAAAAATGGTGGAGGTTAAATCATTGCATGATTAGCAATAGCTACGCTCGTGTTGAATTTTTTTTTCATGCAGTTAATTATCCATCCTTCCCTTCGCATAAAATTAATAAAATAAAGAACACGAGCGCAACTACAATCAAAAACAACACCACCAAAAAAATACTCGACACGAGCTTCGGCTCTCTACTAGGCATCGTCAGGGGTTATTGATTGTTTTGTTCGACACTCGGCCGAAGAATGAGCTCGCCCGGAAAACTCCTGAATCTATTAAGTAATTACTTAAATTTAAAAAATCAAAATTGTTCATGCGTTGTTAAATAGAGATACGAAATTGAAATTGCCATTTGACATTCCGTATAGTTTATTAATTTCATACTTATTTCGAGATTATATATTTATATATTTTCTTTCCTATTTTTTACTTCATGGTGGTACTCGTATGATTACATTTATTTTGAATTTTAATTCCAAAATTTTTTTACGTTTGAGATTTTTTGTGAAGTAATTCCACTAGTTTCTATTATGGTTTACTAATACAAAGATTGAACACGTAGAAAATTTTTTTCGACCCGATGGGACTTGACCCTGCGTATAGACGCAATACTACGATGCAGTATAGACTGCATCGTAGTATTGCTCTTACCAACTGAGCTACGGGTCAAGTTACCGAGTTGTCGAAATTCTCCTATGTGTTTTTATTAAAGATCTTTGTATTGTATTTGTTGGCATTTTGCGCCGCTAGTGACATCTAGTGAGCGATTTTAGAACCTTCTTGACAGCAGCCTTTTTTTATATTTAGACAATATCCCATACGTTGCTCTGAGTGTAAGTAAATAAAGCACGTGTGTTATGGAAATAGGAAACTACGGCAGTACTACAAGCACCAACAGCCGAGACAATATAGAAACATTTTCTACAGTTTCTACATTGACCCGGCCGGGGATCGAACCCGGGATCGAACAATGACGACACTATGAAAACCGGTGTGCAAGCCACTTAACCATGGAGGTCTTGATTGTCGCTACCGACACGGATAAAAATAATATAACTCTGTAATAAATTACAAAGCGCCTCTAGCAATGTCAAGAAGAATGTTAAGTAGGATGTTAAATGAGGGTAGGATGTTAAAAAAAATGATTTGTAACCCGTTCATGGATAGTAACGGCGTTTACAGTAAAATTAAATAACCAAATATGATAGTACGGGGTATCCCTAACGTGATCATTGTTTTTGTCCCTCGAGGCGGGACGCTAATAAATTTATTATTGTTTTAAAAATAAAACACATGTTTGAAATAGTTAAGAAATGTTTAACGATTAAAATAACTTGAAAAAAAGAATAAAAAATGTTTAAAGATCAACAATTTTAAGAAATAACTAATCTTGTGTAGTTTAGTGTGCTGGCTTTATATTATTTTTCGTTTTAGCGCCTTTTTTTTTTGTCACGTGTGTCCTGTTTTGTTAAAGCGGTATACTTATAGTATTTTGTGGACAGCGGGACATGGAACTTAAAAGCGGAAGTGTCCCGATCAATGCAGGACGTATGGTTACGTGAGGTATCCCGTTTCGTTATATGGATCTCAAAAAATCAACTACGGTCTTTACGAATTCAGTATAACAATGCGTTAAGGATGCTGTTCCAACTGCCACGTTTCTGTAGCGCATCAACCATGTTCGCTGATAAACGTGTAGACGATTTTTACGCTATCATACGAAAGCGAAGTGCGTCGCTACTCGGTCGCATGCGTGGCAGCACAAACAGCATCCTGAACACATTGACAGATAGGTGGGAGTCCCCAATGTTGTGGCGGTGGATGCGTTTGCACACCGCTAGCTATTCACTGCTCTAACATTGTTTGGGCAGTTATCCTCCCGCCTATTAAACAAATTATTATTTAATTATTATTAGTATTGTCTTTATTTTTATTTTTATTTTTATGTTTAAACTAACACTAGCTTAAGTACTTTTTATTAACAAATATTATGGATCATGTTGTCTGAGAATAAAATTATTATTATTATTATTATAATTTACAGTTCGATTTCCAAGTTCTTTCGTAGTTGCTGCTTACTGCTTCTCCCTATAGATGTCACAATAACGTACTCACAAAATTTAATGATTTACACCCACACACATTTGTGGACGTTACATTACGACAGTACGGTGGACACCGACGCGTTTGTATGGTCATACAAATACACGTTAGTGCCATTGAACTTTCTAATAGTAAAAGTAAGTTTTACACAAAATTTTTCTCTAAATTAAGTAGTATTAATTCAAAATGAGACAACGGCAATAATCCTGCCACTGTCACAGCTGTTCTTTCTTTTATACCAGAATGTGGAGGGGATCAGCCTTTAGTGATAAAGCGTAATTATTGTGTTCAATCAATAAAGCACTACGTCACAAAGAAAGTAGTGACATTTTAGTATAAATACTGTGATTAATGAGTTAGAACAATGCCACACAGGCGTTGCGTTGTCGCAACGCTATGATTTCAACGCACCGAGTACCACACGAGCAATGCGGTGTCTCTTCACTTCGGCTTTTGAGTGTTCCATTATGTCGTAACGTTTTATTTATAGTTGGACGACTGTCGCGTCTAGATTGTTCTTATATCACGACTATCTGTCGTGATTGTGTCGTGGACGTTTATATTATCGTAGAACGACTGTCGTGTCTAGCTGTTTCTACTAAATCGTGACTACAATTTATCGGTTCACGGCAACCGCCTTGTCGTTTGCACGGCAGAATCGTTTGAAGTTGCATTTACCTGTCGTCACATTTTTGTCGTGACGTTTTATTTATCGTCAGACGACTGCCTTTCTAGCTCTTTCCATTGTCACGACAGTCTCTCGTAATAACGACAAAAAAGTCGTGAACGACAGTTAATCGTGTTGTACTGTATGTGAACAACTTCATTTAAATATACAAGTAACGACACTTTAAACTGTACGGCTATCTGTAGTCACGACGTAATGGAAACGCGCTCTTACCTATTGTCCGATGCGTACGCGTTCCGTTGCTACGCGCCATTTCAACGCACCATGTGGTATGTCCCTCTTATTTATATGTACGTCACCACTTAGGCTTCGCAACGCCGACGCAACGCACAGAGTGACATCGCAATCAATCAAGCGCTTTATACTGTCGTCGGCGATTATCGACATTTGAAACTCGTGGTAATGGCACACCTCTTACTAACTTGATATTTAACATATTTTATTCTAAATATAAAATGTATTGTTGCTTCCCTTGCACAAAATGGACTTCTACGGTTTCCCAAGTATGCGACCGGAAGGTAAGTAGATTATGCACTTGAAAGTTTTCAAGACCAAGTTCACTTGAGGGTAAATGCTACTGATTTAGTAATAGTAGTGCTCTACCTTTAGACAACGGTACACAATTCTCCGTAGTTTCTTTTTATTTCATAAAATCTAGTCCCAAAAAGTTTTTAAGTACAAAAAGAAAATTGTCAAAATCAAGTGTCAGTTGACTCGGTTAAACAAAATATATTTTAATTTAAAAAATGCGAATTGTTTATAAAAAAAGTGTTCCTTTGTTTTCCAATTATTTAGATAGGGTGACAAATTATTAGTGTACCGAAAATGGAACCTTTCATGGACTTTTATTTCGAAGAAGTGTTCAGTAACATGAATCGCGATTGTCTGAACGAGAAATTCAAACGGAAAGAACTGTGCGAATATTTTAGTACAGTTATTGCTGGATGTGCCAAAGGTACCAATTTAATTATTTCAAGGGGCCAGGGGAATTTTCCGATAAATAAATATACCAGATAATAATTGACAAGACAGATAATTTATATGATCTCAACCTAGGGAAATCTCTGCGCGTACTGGAGTAACGATTACACGTAGACTCTACGCAACACCCAGATCAGAAGCACAGTGGAAAACATCGAGTCAAAAAATTTTCGTCTGTATATTTATTTATTTAATTCAAAAAATGTTTATACAGGCATTACTCAGCCACTGAAAACCAGCGCAGTGTCTCCGCCGCAGTATTTGTTGAGTTGGGCCCTTTTAGTGCAATACACTTAAGCATAAAATCATAATGTGCTTTCTGACTACAATTATATGGAGTGCAATAAAAAATAAATGGTGCGCTCTAATAAATAACAAAAACTTAAATAAATTAAAATAGACACAAAATTAACAGGAAATTGTATTGTTATCTTATGAAATCGTTGAGGAGTTCACTACCTCTTTCAAAGCATCTTTAAGAGAGTATAAAAAGCTTCTCATACTGTAGTATGATGATACACGATTGGATTATGTTATACAACCACCTTTTATTAATTTTGTTTCACAACAATCGCTATACCGCCTTTGTGGTGGATTTATTTCTCAAAAATGTAATCAAATATCAGTTGTAAAGGCATAATATATCGGTATACCTTATCCTTCATTTCTCAGGTCAAGACAAATCAGACGGTGCTACTTGCAAAAGTTTTGTAATATCGGCTCTGCGGTATCATAACAAGTGTAAGTCAAATAATGGTGATGTTTGCCTAATGGGAAAGTATCACAACCTGCTGTATATTGCAATGAAGCTGGCATTCGATTGGAGTCTCCAGGATAACGGTGTAGTTGCAACATTGTTGGATGAGATTTACGCCTGTGAAGGCACTTTTGAGAGAATATTCCTAGGTATGTATGTGTCAGAATACAGGTACATTTTGCAGTGCCCTACAGAGCTTTGCGATTTATAGTTCTGAATGGCACTGCAACTGTCATGGACTGGCGTGTAGCTTTGTCACTTAATTTATTAATATTAATATATTTTAAGGGGTGATTTTAAATATCAATTGAAATAGCTTTTCCCAATGAAAATTATCCGCTGATAAAAATGGCAGTAAATCGATTTGCCCATTGAATTGTACGTTTTTGGTGGTGATATTAGTGTTATACTTATGTTTTATGTATTTTATTTATTTAACCTTTATTAGGTTCGCAGATAATCAAATTAATTTATTTCCATGTTTATTAAAATCGATTTCCACAAAGTAACAACTAAATATATTAAATATCAGCGCTCCTTTAAAAATGGGACTGCCGATTGCTTTTTTTTTCAGCGATTTCAGGAAGGTCGCCATGCTAAATGTTTTTAGTATTATTAAATTAAATCACTCGCGTTAGTTTTATAATGGACCATTAACTCTAGACGACTGCCTAATATCCATATTATAGATCATAACTCTGAAAAAGTTTAAAATTCCGTCTTATATGTAGATGGCGTTAGTAGCAGAAGAGCTCTTTGTGAAAGAGTTCGTCCAGGGAAGTACTGCCACCTTGCCTATTTCTGCCGTCAAGCAGTAATGTCAGCTTTACTGTGTTCCGGTTTTGATGGGTAAGGGTGCCGGTGAAATTACAGGCACATGAGACTTGTCAACTTACGTCTCAGAGTGGTGGGCGCAGTGGCAGTGCCCCTCAGAACTTTGCGATTTAAAGCTCTGAGTGGCACTGCAAGTGTTATGGACTGGCGTCTCATCACTTGATATTATTAAAAAAAAAATGGCGCTGATCGATAGCCTCGAAGTAGGTCATATTACGTAAATGGCCGTGGATATCGATTTAATAGGAAATACGAATAGTCCAAGTAGCTTCTTTTCTTGTAATATTATTATTCAAATATTGACCATGAGCTAATTTTATTTTCTGAACTATGATAAGTCGACCCCTCTTACGTAAAGGGTCGTATGTCGAAATTGCCAAGTTTACAGGGGAGCCTTTCAAATTTCTGAATTCACTGAAATGAGCATAACACGTGACTTTAACATTTCTCCGTTTTATTCGGCAAAGCTCGTTACTCACAAAGAGTATTATAAATTCCTAGATATCGATTAGATGATCTATGATAATCTATTAGATGATCACTCTTTCAGTGAATTCAGAACTTTAAAACGCTCACATGTAATTTTGACAATTTCGACATACAATACTTTACGTAGGAGGGGTCAAAATGTGAGTTTCAATAGATGGCAGTATGTGTTACAGATTACAAACTTATAAATTACCGGTGGCTAGTAGATGTAGTAGATGGCGCAAATCCTAAACAAAATAAAGGCATTATCGGCACTATCCTATCCTTGATTTTTTTGTTATAACTTTGATAAATTACACCTTGTCAATGTAAAACAAATTAGTTACAAAAATAGGTGGTTGGTGAAATTACAGGCACATGGGACTTGTCAACTTATGTCTCAGGCTGACGAGCGCAATGGCAGTGCCCGTCAGATTTTTGCAATTTAAAGGTCCGAGAGTGGCACTGTAATTGTCATGGACAGGCGTGTAGCTTACCATCAGGCGCACGACTTGTTCGTCCCTTCACTTTATGTTATAAAAAAAACTCGTCGCGACATCTGCTGTACCAACAGGTACTAAATACCCGACTACGCCATCTTGCATTTCGATTAGTAGTCTTTTTGAATTATTGAACCAGGGTGTAATTGAATAAAATCATCTGCAAAAAGACCATGTAATAAAAAGTCACCACTAAATAAAAATAAATTAAAGGCGGGTTTTGAGACCACCACGTACAACTATTTATCATCCAATGTAACTAAAGTCTTTAAGGTTTTTAATGTTTGAGGATTTGAAGCAGAAAATATATTTGTATTTTCAAAATACAAATGGTGATTCAATAAATATACAAACATTTTATTACATATATACATGTATATACTTAATTAATTTTGTCAGTAAATGTTACCGACAAAATACTACCAGGAATTGCCTTGTGATTTCACTTAATGTTACGTCTATAATTTAGATTTGCCAATAGATAATCATCGGAACTAATGGAATGCTATACCGTAAAAGCATCGTGATAAGATAAGATTGTAGTAAAGATAAACAATTCTCTTGCATCTTTCTGGTTTGCGATACAGCGAAGCGTAATTAATTCTTTTAATAAACCTTATCAGTTGTCATCTAAAAGTAAGATGATAAATACAAAAGTTGTCACTGTACAATTTGTTTCTGTCTTGGCTGTAACTAACAATACTAACAACCGTAAACCGTGTCATTTTATTTTTGTTAAGCGCTAGTGGGTTCCTATTAAATCTGAAATGGGATAGCATTGGCCTATGACATCGATATCAGTGTTATCAACAGAAGATTTGAAATTTCGAGGAACACGAACTTACTTATCATGTTTTACCACGCAAATAAGTAAATCATGTAATGATATAATTAATACAAACAACGAACAAACACAAAGAACAATTCACTTCGATCCGGCTGGATTGGACCCGCAATTTTTTGCCAAATCGGGTTACCACTCTCCCAACTGAGCTACGGAACGACACCTTACAAATTTGGGTCGGTATCATAATGACTCTATCTTCAAAGTGACCTGATCAGCATACTGACTAGATCGCAAAACAAAAACCTCTGTAGAAAGAATATAACTTCCAACGACTTGGTAGTGAAACGACTAGATATCGAAATTACCAAATCATTAAATTAACCACATGGTAAAACGACAAGGTAGCAAAATAACTAGATTTTGTTATTGTACAAATTTCTCTACGTGGTATTGCAGATCTTTCTTTTATTTTAACGGCTTTTTAGTTTCGTTTTATAAGTTTTTCTATACATTTATATCTAATAGTTAATAAAACTGTGATATTTGTTGTTGTAGGAGCTATATTCGGAACATCAGCACCATATTTCCTTGCCGGATGGAAATCGGATTTCGCAAATAAAGAAGAGAATATACACGCCTTAGTTTTCTTCTTGGATCACGCTACAAACGCTAACCTAGAATATCGCGATGGAAATAAATTCTATCGCTTCATTGACGTGCCTTTAGAAAGCTGCGGTAAGGCGTCTCCTGTAAGAGTTGTCATTCAAATGGGGGCAGCAGAAATGTTAATGATACTTCTCAGATTTGGAGCTAGAATTTTTCCAGGTACTGACAATGTGTGTACAAACCCTGTAGAAACTATACTTGATAGACTTAATGAGTACAATCGAAAATATCCCTACGAACTTGTCACATGTTTGAACCTAGCTTTGAGATCAATTCCAAGTGTGACTTTTTCAGTAGACAAGGCTGAATATAGGCATTTAGGGTTGCCTGAAGATTATAATTACCAAAGAAAAGTCGCTCTCGAAAAGTATGGAGACATACTAAGGGACCATTTAATACCTGCTTCGAGATGTGGTTTAAGGCCAGTTGAGCTAAAGCATTTATGTAGATGCAAAATCAGACACATATTGTGGCAGAACTTCGAGCTACCATTTGGTATACAGAAATTACCCATACCCGTTTCTCTACAAAAATATTTGGATCTGTTTAATTATTAAAAGTTATAAACATTTAATTACGTCGTTTTATTTACTTAATAAGTATTCCTTTATATAACCGCAAATTGTGCTTTGTGTAAAACACAGAGAGAAGGGATTAAATAAAAAAAAATCAGATGGTTATAACCACGAAAAACTGAAAAGTATTATCTGCCTCCTGAATTCTTAGAACATTGCAAAGTCTAAAAAACTTTGCATCGTAATGGATTTCAACATTTTTCACAGAAATAGTTATTCAAAGAGAATTTGACCTTATTTCTAGAGAGACAAGTTAGTCTAGGGAAGTACTGCCACCTTACCTATTTCTCCCGCCAACCAGTAATGTGGGCATTGCTGCCTTTTGTTTTAAAGTGTAAGGCTGGTGAAACTACAGGCATATGGGAGTTGTCTACTTGTCTCAGGATGACGGGCGCATTGGCGGTGTCCCTCAGATCTTAGTTATTTAAAGCTTTGAAAGGCACTGCAACTGTAATGGATAGGCATGTCGCTTACCCATCAGACGCATGACTTGTTCGTCCCGTAGTTCTGTAGGTTGATATCATATATAAAGGGTCAAAAGAATCTAAAGACAGACTAGCAGCTCAATAGGACCTCACGGCAAATGGCGTGCCGGAGAAAAAAATGTAAGCTAGCAGATGAATTATTATAGATTGAGACTGAATGGTTCTATAGACTGACCTGTAAGTATCCTCACTGACATTGATAGTGCCAGGGACACCAGTGGTCTCGCAGCGACTGGTTAAGTTGACAGTGTTACCGAAGAGGCAGTAGCGAGGCATTCGATGCCCGATCACCCCTGTTACCACCTCGCCAGAGTGTATGCCGATAGTAATACCCTGATAAAAAAACGAATAAAATACACAATCACACATCAAAACACGAAATGACGTTGACAGTAATTTTATTTGACCTGTGGTGTGTTAGTTCCTCATAAGCGAATATCGTGGGTAGCTTTGATTGACGATTTATCTTCAGGTTTGTGTGTCCTTATGAAAATGTTAGGGGATCCCTGATATCTCCAATGTCAGGCTTTGTCCACGGAGTATCCTTCTTTCTACATTCCTAACTTTATCTCGTTGTATAAACTTGTCGGTTAGTAACCAACATAGATATAACCAATAATGTAATACGATTTTTGTTTCTGGGTTATCAATATCATTTTCTAATTGGTTTTACATTACTGTAAAGACATTGCTTTTGTGGTTAGGACAACGAAAAGTTGAAATTTGCGTACCACTAGGGAAACGTACAAACTGTCCGGTATCTCATTATTTAATGATAAAAAGGGCGCAGTATATTTCAAGAAGATTTCAGCCAAAATTCTTCATATTGATGATAAAGAAGCCAGAAGTTTGCAGATTTTGAGATTATGTAAATACAACTACCTACCTATACCTATGTAAATAGGCAGATATGTGAAACCACTGTGAGATCCATAAAAGCAAAGTTTCAAGGGTATTGCTTTCCTACATATTTGTTGATCAATTAAACTGAAACTAATACTGTCAAAACAGAAACAGATTTTTTTTATTTGTTACATAATTGTAATTAATGAGCATCAGTTATATGAAAATAAAGACACTTACAACAGGTTCTTCATCCACGGTGACGGTCTGAGAAAGATCCATCATATCCAAAGCGAGGAGACAAATATGCTTAGCATGTCCCTCTTCATATTCTGGTAGACCAGATACAGCCATATATTTATCACCTACTGTCTCGACCTGAAATAAGTAAGGCTCACGTACTGATATCGGATCTCAAGAATAACGTTATACTTTCTTTCTAAAAACTGACCTTGTAGACATTAGGATTACGTTTCTGATCGGTTAATGCATCGAAAGTGGTGTACAAATCATTCAGCATCCTGACGATCTTCATGGCTCCTTTATGGTCGGTGTTTCTGGCGCAATAGTTGGCAAAACCGACAATGCCGCTGAAGAGCAAAGTGACAGGGTCATAGCGACGAGCTGGCACAGGACGTTGGTGACGGAGCTCGGTAGCTACGCTAATTGGTAGCACGGAGTAGAGCAGCCTGGTAAGTGAAAGGTATATAAATAAATTTCTCTGACTGTTTCATAAAGATCAGTGCCATTTCCCAGGTTCATTGAGATACTTGTGACTCTAGAAATGATTTAGCTTACTTCAAGGGATGCTAGTTGGCAATAAAAATAGAAAAATCCCCATTTTATTTTTTCGAGATTCTTAGAATTGATAGTTCTTGTAAACCTGTCCGTTTTCTGTTTTTCGGAATCCAGTTCCCTGAAGGTCTGCTGTAGCTTGTCGGTGAGGACTTCCAAGTTCTGAGTCAGTTTGTAGTCAGCTTCGAATTGCTCTGACATGAGCACAAGGTCACGAGTAGCGTCATGCAGGGGAATATCAGAAATAGTCAGACCACGCCTGTAAGAATAAAATACATTGGTAAACCTTTGCGTTGTGTATGAAAAGGATACGGATACAATGTTCTGTATTTATTTGATTTTTAAGTAGCAAGATGTATTAGCTCTCGTCTTGGATGAAACCCGTGCCTAAAACTGAGGTGTATAATGGATTGAAGATGATCATGATGTTACTCAACCACAACAATTATCTACCCTCTAATCGTCTAAATTTAAACCCTGTTTGAAGTCGGTGAACTTCATAGTTTGAAGATCAAATAATGGACTTTGAAAATGCACAAGGTAGGCATTTTAATTTGAACTTCAGATTGGGTTTTAAGTCACATGGTTAAGACCCAGTCTTACAATTGGTTTAGTACTCGTAGTGTAGAATTTTTACCATTGATAGTTTCTATGATAGGATATAATCTCAGGAAGGTAACCTATCACAAACTCGAATTTTTTTTCCGAAAGAACGTTTGTTCTAATTTGCATTACACCGAAAACCGAATTATAACGAAACTGTTGTTTTTTCAGGATATGTTGGATTTTCATCACAAAGACACGATTAGGTTTGGTTAGGTTAAGTTAGGTTTAAAAGAAAAAAACATTTTCCTCTCAAAATTACTTTCGAGGTTGTAAAAATTCGAGCAAACGTTATTTCTGGAGAATGTCATTTCGGACCACTGATAGGTAACCTCCTAGGAGAGATGCCTGTCAATCAACCTTTTGATATCCCACGTGATGGCCAACTATATTGTAAAAAAGAAGGAGAAAAAGTTTGCCTACCGAGTTAGATCATCAAGGTTGGTAACACTGGGATAGCATTGGAACACTATAACATCAGTGTCAGGAATATACAGCATTTGTCCCTGAAACCAAATCATAAATTTTAAAACATCTAAAGAGGACGCACCTGGATTTCAAAACCCTTTCTAATTTTTGATGTCTATTAAAAAAATATATTTTTCGTCATTATAGATTACGTTACATTCTGTGACTAGTTTACCGATTGTTATTAGATTAGCTAGATTATATGCCAGAGTGACTATTTTAATATCTGTAGTTAAAATAGTCACTCTGGCATTAGTTTAAGATCAGGTAAATTATGTAATTGTCTTGCTTGCATTTAGATTCTAATTGTATGACATTTAGACTCTAAGGACTGTGGACTGAAGAGTCACAGTTTTGCTTTGTCATAAATTTAGTCACGTTAGACCCGTAGCTCCATCGTCAGGAGTTTACTTTGAAAATTATAAATTGGTATAATAAAGCCACATGACGGACGCGATCATACGTGAAAAGCGCTTTCATTATATGAATATCAGAAAAATAATACAATTATAAAATATTAAAAAGCACATGAAACAACTTATGTACTTATAGTGTGAAATTTTGTAATTCTTAAATAATTAAGCTTAAAAAGGTTATCGACTAATTTTGTTCGTACAATCTCCTGAAAAGTTGTCATTTCACAGATGTGGCCTTATTACACCATAAGGGTGCGAATTATCGCTTAAAATATTTGTTTTTACATTTGCCCCTACTAGTGGAGTATTTTCACTAAAAATATTGAATATCATAGTAGTAAAAACATCATGATATTCATACAATAAAATAAATATTGTAATGAATGTAGCGACATCTCTATCAGCTTCTGATAGCTATAAAGGTACCTCGTTGAATGAAACTTTCATAAGATTTTCACAGGTGGCACTACGCTACATGGAGAAAAATCGTAACATCTACCGACTCATTCTGTCGCTCAGTTGGTATGAGCAGTAGCAGCGGTGACAACAAGTGCTGGTTCGAGTCTAGTCGGTTAAAAGTGATTTTTTTAAATGTTACCTTTAAACGAAGTGACGCTATATCCTCATGGGGGTCGCAGATCATTTCTTCAGATTTGGTCTTCAACACGTATACTGTATTAATGTGTGCCAGTACGTTTGAAAACGACATCTCCAAGTGCGGACGAACCTGTTATTAAAAAATGTTAGCGTTTTTTTGTTTTTTACATGTGTAGTTTCCACATAATTTTACTGAATTTTCGTGGACCCATTAACATCTTATGCGCGCCCTATTTTTCTTTCACTAACATGAACGCCTTGTAGGTTAGGGTGAAAAGGTTAGTTGTCGATATAGACCTATTTTCATCTGGAATCATCGTTCTAAAGTATCTTTTGATTTTGATGGTCCAATGACAGAGTAAAACTTTGGAAGATCATAATCGTTTATTACTAATAACAAAAATCATTTGACAATAAACTTATAGGTTACGTGTAAACATTTCTGAATCCCTGAATCAATGATCGCTGTCATGCGATGGTGGCAAACGCTTTGCAATGCGAAAGCAATCACAAACTTTAGTGTTGCAAGTTTAGGCGTTGCTAGTTAGCAATGCTTTGCATTATTGATGTGTGTTTCGACTCTAATTGAAATAAGTTCAGCTCAATTTATGTTGCTGCGGAACGGAATGTAACCCAATTTTTGTAACGAAATTGAACATATCAGAATTGTAATAAATTTTAAGTCAATTGTGCAGCAAAAGCGTACATACTACAGATAATACGATAGCTGTGGAAATTGCTGCGTCTACACGAGCATGCTCTGTAAGAATCTGTTTTTTGGCTCGTATCTATACTGCCCTCCTTACTTATAACCATGGATCAATAACTCCTCTGAAAAACTTCAAAATACGGTCTCATATCAGGATGACGCTGATCTATAACTTAGTAGTAGTTTATATAATGGAAATGGCCGTGGATATTAATTAATTCATCTTTAATATTAAAGAAATATAAGAAATCAGTTTCTTTTTGTTCTACATTACTCAAATATTGATCATGAACTAAAATTATTTTCTAAATTTTGATAAATATGAGTGTCATTAGATGGCATTGTGCGTCACAAACTAATTTACACAAATTAATGCTTCGTATTTGGATAGATGGCGCTAATCTCAAACAAAATAAAAGAAAAGCCGGCACGACCCTTAAATATCATTGCAATAAGCGCCAACTAGTTAAATTATTCGTTATCATTAGGAATTAGAATAGCATTGATAAATTGCAGCTTGTGAATGTAAAACAAATCAGTGACGCAAATAGCTATTTGGTACTTGTCGCGACATCTGGTGTACCAGTACTAAATAGCCGACTACTCTGTCTTGTGTAGCGATTAGAAGTCCTCTTGATTTATAGGTCCGTGAAATAACCACACATAACACAATACTCTAGTACAGATACCCAATCTCATACAAAGAAATGTTGCACTCGTAACTCCGCTTATTCGGGCGCTTATTTTGAATCTTAACGCTGATCAGTAGATGGTACCAAGTAAACCCGCGATATGATTGTAATAGTATTCGAAAAGGCCGACAGAAGGCAGCAATTACATTTTTGTCAAGGTTATTGGTCTTCGAGTTCTTGGGTTTTCGCGATTGTTACACATAGGGAATGACTATTTTTCCAGATTTAAATTGCGTATATTTGTTTTTTCAAACAAACCAACGTTTCAGGCCCTTTACACGTCCCGTGGACACGGTTTGACAGTCAACCGAGACCATGGGACCTGTAAAGGGCAGTATATAGTCCGTACTTTTTAAAAATTCGCTCCTCGCCAATGTAAATTGAGCCTTAAAGCCAAAAGCTTATATTGAAATGTATGGCAGCTACCTCACTTGGCTACCGATTGGCGACGTCGCCAATTTGGAAGCGTAGCCACTACCGACACTCCCGTATATGGAGTTCGGCGACTCTGGCGCTCTGGCGACGTAGCCAACAAAATGTAGGCATGTAAACAGCGCTTCCCTCACTTCAGTCGTCAAACAGTCGCCGTAGGGAATGCATGTCTGTCGACTTCACATTTTAAATTGGTGATAATGGCTTTCTACACTGTTCGCAAGACCGGTTCGTAACAATACAGAAAGATTCATCGGGAGATAGAAAACCGGCCGTGCTTATGGAACAGTGCGTTAAAAGAATATTCCTACAGTAAATTTCATAATAAATAAGAGCGATTTCTTCCACGTCCATTCCTGACGACGCAAACGAATGACTAATTAGGCCCTCGACATACCTGGCTTGGCTACTCCTTGGTTAAAGAGTAGCCAGTAACAGTAACTACTCTTTGGTTACTCTGTTTGACGACTGTCGGTTGCCAGAGGTAGCCTACCAAGTATTCACTGTTGGCGACGTCGCCATGGCGTCCTGGTGAGGCAGAGATCTAAATCTAATATAAGTAAGTAGAAAAATTCTGTTGATGTTACAATGATTTTACTTGAATTCAAAGTAATGAATAACCGTCATCAACCAAGCGCCTGCCAAAGTTAAAGAAGCAAACACGTTTAAAAAATATTTCTCAACTCACGGTCTCCAGAACGTCAGTGATCTTGCAACCAGGTCTAGTAACCCTTGGTAGAAGACGGGACACAGTACGTCCAGCTTGAATGATATTCAGTTCACGATCAAACATGAGATGGAATGGAAATACTCGGCAGAATGTAGCTGGACTCACTTTTGGCTCTGAGAAAAAGAAAAAACTATTTATAAAGATCCAGGGATTTTGAAGTCAGATCTCCATTTGAGTTTACATTGACAAAGTGGTTCTCCTTTTCTTCTCGTGACCACTAGATTTTGGCCTAAATAAATTCAAATATATTAAGCGATCGTTAGTAAAAAACTGTAATATAAAAAAGTGACTGATCAGTCCACGATTGTTGGAGTGTAAATGCCAGTGTTAAAGTAGGAGATTCCCTGATCCTTATGAGTGTCAGATCAACGATTTTAGCTCCGGGGACATTACTTTGAACACCAAGATCAGAACCACTATCGAAAGTTCGTTTTGTCTGACTCTGAAGATCCTTATCTAGTACTCAAAGTGTTAATCGCTGGACTCTAGTGATCAAAAATGTGATAAACGATTTCAAGGTTCTGAGAAAAGCTGTCTGTTAGAGATTATAGTAGTCCTATGGGAGTACGGTGGCTTCTAAATTGACATGACCACGACTAGACTTCCCGTGGCATATACCTCAAATTAATGTCTAAGTTACATACATTTGTACATATTTGGCAGCAATGACTTTCGAAAACATCAAGGAGAGTGTTCACAACCCCTGATAAACGTCTGAAGAATCCAACCCTGACGCAAACCCTCTCGTTAGAGGAGACCCGTACCGAGTAGTGGAACGTATAATGTGATGACGACGATGATGAGCTAACGTTAGTTTCCTATGTGGAGCATAGTGTTCGAGTAGGCAATATTACCAATATTATAGTATATATTGGGTATAGTTCAGTTGTTTATCTGTATAAGAAGAAGGGAGTGAGGAAGGGGGATGAAATAGATGGGGCAGTAGAGCAGTTCGTACTAACCAAGTGAAAGTGTTTCAATCTCAGCAATTTCAGGAACAGACACTTTTCCACTGTTAGAAGTCTCGGTGATCAGAAACTGTACGTGGTCGCATTCCTTCTTAGACTTCAGGATCTCTACTTTGACTTCTGTGTTGTGAAGTTTGCTGGCCACCGTCTGTAAAAATAACAAAAAAAATACAAAGTGGTTACACGTACATATCAAAAGTGTCTATAGTACAAGCACGTTTTTCCCAATTACTGAAACATAGATTTTTTTATGTTGAAAATGATATTGTCCAAAAAAATCCATTGGTGTTAAAAGAAAATCATTAAAAAAGCTGATTTTCAGTAATTATCAAAAACGTGCTTGATCCCTTTTAGACAACTTTGATGTGTGCATATACATATAGGCTGTCGCAAAATCCTGCCTTTGGATTATAGTACTTTGCTAGCATTTATCATGTTATTAGTTAAAATCAAATCGTACCTTAACGATTCCGATGACAATATGTTCCAAGCCTGGTCTGTCAGAGTAATAATGCAGGACCAAAGCACCGTCTTCTGGCCTTTCCGTGCAGCGGAAAGATGGAGCCCGCATGCCTGGATAGAGGGTGCCCAAGTGATCGTGGAGAGCGTCCAGGTTCTGAAAAAGAATAATGCAATGTAATATCAATATTTGATGACCTGTACGGATAGATGTCTAGTTGGTTAAAACCCTTTAGACAACATCGTAGAAAATAATTTAAAATTTAAGTCCTAAAAACGCCAAGTTTTCGCCATAACAAAATATTTTGCGCATATACAAAATGACACACTTTCCAGGAGAAAGGTTTTAACATTATATCTATGAGCGAAATCAGTGGATACGTTTTCATGCTTAAATTCACTCATACTTTAGACTCATAATTCAAAGGGACAAGACAGCGTAGTCGGGTATTTAGTACTCAATGTACACCAAATGTCGCGACGATTGTCAGATAACTATTTTTGTAAATAATTTGTTTTACAGCTGTAAAATATTAAATTTACTCTAATTTCTAGTGATAACTAATACAACTAGATGGCGCGTATTGCACGGATTTTTATGGACAGTGCCGGCTATTCATTTATTTTGTTTAGGATTAGCGCCATCTACCCATAGGAAGCATTAATTTTTACATTAGTTTGTATCATACGATGCCATCTATTGACACGCATATTTGTCAAAATTCAGACAATAATTTTCGCTCATGATCAATATTTGGATAATAGTACAAGGAAAATTCAACTGCTTTCTTATATTTAATTTCAGACTGGAATTAATTGATATCCACGGCCATTTACCTAATATCATCGAGTATATAACCAGAAGTAGAGGCGAAATAATGGTCATCCGACCCTGGCAACTCGTTAAGTAAATGGGCCTTATATCACTTTTAAATATCACCTCTCATTTGCACTGAAATCACAAATTAGAAAACTGAAATAGTACAGCGTCAACAACTGACCTGTTTGTTCCCAAAAATATTCTGTATTTATTGTAATAAAGATAATATCTCTAACAATCGGGGGCTGTTCCGTTCGGTGGTGTGGGAAAAACAGCAAAACATCTAATTACAAAACAAACGCAATCACATTTCATTGGTAATTAAATATTAAATATGTACTTTTGCAATTTTCGTCCATTAGAGCAAAGCTCAAGTTAAACTCGAATTCGGGCTGGCCAATCGGAGCGCAGCGCCGTTGTCACAGTAATGATTTGGCAGAATAATTTTCAAACCAATTAAATGACATTTCGTCTCTATTTCTGGGTATACACTCGATGGCCCATGCTTATACACAAATTATTTCGTGTAGTTTGTATTATTCTTATGACTTTCATATTATGCCTCCATTTTAACAAAGTTACTAAATACAAGAATATTACCTGCAAGAAATCACGCGGAGTAGCACCCAGTACTTGAAGAATTTTATCATAGCCGGAATCTTGACAGAACTCGAAGAAAGTCTTGCCAAATAGTTCCAGAATTGCGTCAGCTGGAATGTCTGTAATATATAATTAATACGAAACAATTAATTGCGTTGTCATCCGAAACATTTTAGGCTTGTACATTTTGTAATCAATTACACAAGTCAACACGGGTTTTGTGACTGAAATGAGGAAAAGAAATAATATATTGTCCATTAATTTGTTTTTGCAGCTGAGGCCTATATATTCCACCATCAATAACAAAAATGACGTAATTTATAAGCGTTTTTTTAAACCGACAAATTAGATTTTTATAAATAAAAACATGTGTGGCAAAAACATATATTATACGCTAGTTTTTTTATCTGGTGCCAATTTTATTTAATACTACTACTAACTACTAACTAGTTCTGCACCTGTTGGTAAGCGACACACTTATCTATAACAGTTACAATGTCACTGCCACTTCAAAAGCACAATATATCCTCAATATACATCTTTAAAACATTGTCTGATTATCTGATCAAAAAACTAAATAAATTATAAAATATTTTAAAAAGACAAAAAGATTTAATATTAAAAAATATTACTATGATATTAATGAACTTTGATCAAAAGCTTCTAACCCAAATGAAGAGTTAAAACAGCCTAGGTCTCTCCTCCCTACTCTCTTCGCTTCTACTTTGTTCAGGTACTGAAAGGATTCAAGATATTGTGTTTCTTTTATTATGTAATACATCATAAATGCATGCTTTTAAGAGAAGTGACTCAAAACAGACTGTAGATTTTTTTTATATTGCTATTCTTAATAAAGAACTCGAACGAAACATCTCCAATAAAAAAATGTTATAACATTTGTTGCTGCCCTTCCGTAATAGGACACAATGGTTTATTTGGTTTTTTGGAATATTATATTTTGGTTTTTAAAGATCCTACGTATTCACCTTTTTTTCTATACCTATGATTCACCTTTACGAATGAGGTCAAACTACTACGTGACATATTATTATGCTTACACGTACCAAACACCTTGCGTGCTGTTTACCAAAGCCACGTTATTTTCAGTAGGTCTTGTTAGTTAATTCTGATTAGGCTATTGTGGAATGAAATTTTAACAATCATACCATTATATTGGCCTAAAATATACCAGTGTCTAGTTTTGAATATACACTCGCCTACTTGAAGTATCCGAGCAAACACAGGTGAAGGGTGATAAGGTGCTGAGATAAAAACGGGCTCCAGGCGGCGACAGCTACCAGACACTTGTCATCTGAACATATTCGACTGCGCTCACAATTGTTTTGTTTTGTATTTCAAAAAGCCCATATAACCATTTGAATACAATTCATAAACAAAATTACTAGAGACTACTAAATAACAAATAATTATGACCAAGGTATCGTAAAAGATGTAAACAATGTAGAATGGTAACAATGTAATTATGGAACAAATTTAACTTTGTATATTTGTTTTACTGATATATAAAGATATCCGCCATCAACTTTACCATAACATATTAGTTATCGAATAAACTTCGTTCTTGCGAAATCCAATTGCTCTTTGAAATATTGCCGCATACAAACTGGACTTTGTTTTTCGAATAGACAATTTAAACACAAAGTAAGTATACTATTATAGCTCATTTCGAATACATGACCATTCCGAGCTTAAGTACCCATATCTGATAATAATTCAACATATTGTAGTGTTTTGCATATTTATTATACGTGTCCATTGACAAGTATGGCGATGGTACCATTGACCGACATAATTTCTTAATTAATTTTTAATAAGATTTAGGACAAAATATTCTATCACAGTAACACGATTGTTATTGATGAGTGTCAATCACTGGGTGTTCATTATTGTGAATGTCGATTACTGGTTAGTTAATTAGTGTATTTTTGGTGTTAAACACTGGA